ATAGCCAACAAATTAATTGTTGTAGGCTAACCCGATCTCATGAAAGTGCGTATAGCACGATTTTCTGCTTCTATTTGGCGTAATATTTCTATGCAGAAATTGACTTTGGCATGCAAAAGACTGATGAATTCATAATTAATGGCATGGCTGGTTTAGTCGACAGAAATACGGGACACACAGGCCTATAATAACTGCTGAAATGTTTGCGGGGCAAATCTCAGGTCAGTCTGAGCGCTCATGGTATGCACAGTGCGCACAGCCGTACACCTGCAGGTGCCACTGATGCAGTAGATCTTACAATTCTTATGAGCGTGTGCGTGACCGTGATTTGTGCGCAAGCATGTCAGTGAGCATGGCATCACAATCGATCAGATGCGTGTTAAAGTTGCGTTCGTTATTATAGCACCCCCCCACCACACACACACACACACACACACAAATTGCAGAGGGCCTCGCACACCCCCCTTGCGCCGGCCCTGTTTGAATGTCACACAAAACGTCATACACTGTGATTTATGCCATCATGTTCAAAGTGAAGCACATGTGAGACTCAGTTGGGGAGGCATGACAGTTGCCTTCAAGCCACATGAGGAACCAGGAAACCAGCTTCAATGAGAGAGAACAGAGACACGATGTGCTCAGAGATAGAGTGGATTCCAGCCTCGCAGCCTTTCATCCCCTAAATCCATCTACTTCACATCCTCTTAAAAAAACATCTGATCTATTAGAAGAACACTTACAAAATACTACTATGGGTCAGCATACGACCCTACCCGAACGTTTGGATGCTCTTCAATTCTCCCTTTCAGCCACAAATGGGGCATCTTTCAGCATGTTAATTTAATGAGTACAGTCAGTATGTTTCAGGAGGGCCACTGAGATATGCTCTCTATTTTTAGATCAGTTATGAAGTGCTAATGTGTCAGGGTGTGTATCCGTGAAAATTTCAGAGGGAAATGCTCAATATCAGGCATTCATTCGCATATTTGTCTTAGATTTGTTAGATAGACAAAAATAAATCCTAATCCAATCCTTCTGATATTACCGAAATATTCTGTAGCATTCTTTCAATGACATAAAAATAATTATACATGAATATGATAATCATGGTGATACCATCTGAAACAGTTACTGTACCACTATTGTACTATTTTTTGTAAAGGCAATTATTGCATTTGTGCCGCTGAATGTGTATGAGAAGATGAAAATGATATTAGTGAAAAGCAGCATTACGATATGTGGAATTCTTAACTTTTACTATCAGTGCACTGGGGCAAGATCCAACAGGTTGAGAGATTGTGACCTCAGGTATTCTGCTCAACACTCCCCCAACTATATTCTGCACATCACACCTGACGACACAAATGTTTCATGAGATTGTTTTCTGTCTTGGAAGCTGATAAGACCAAACTGAGCACACATAGCCATGCTATCATCTCATCTTCTTAATAAACAAATTAAAATAATACACAAAAGAATTGGGCTGCTGAAAATTCCGTTTTGCTGTCTAAGGAATAAATTACATTTGAAAATATATATTCAAATCTAATTTTTTTTGTTGTTTGTTGTATTTGTGATCAAATAAATGCAGCATTGGTAAGCATAAAAGATTTCTTTCAAAAACATGGAAGAAAAAAAACAAAACAATTACTGGCCCCATGATTCAAAATGTATTACATTTAAATTGTATTTATTAATATATATATATATATATATATATATATATATATATATATATATATAATATGTATATATGTTTTGAATCATGTGGCCTTTAAGTTATAAATAATTAACTACCTTCATTTTAGAGCATGTTATGCATTATTAATACTTAACTGCAGTAACAAAAACAAAAGCTGTTCAACAAAATAATTACATATTTATATACAGGTTATTTTAGTAATAATCCTCAGTTCCACATGTAATTATACACAAACACTGATCTTATGGGAGGCCCTTCATACTTCATCACCAAGAAATTCCTCATGCATGTCATTAATATTCATGTGCAAATTTCCACAGTGATGGAAGACAAAGCATTCCTACAAAGGCCACAGGGAAATGCAGTGTAGGGGATTATACTGAGAGAATAACCATTTTCATTCTGAAATATTAAATATGATAGAATATGACTGAATATATTTAGTTTTAACGTAAATAAAAAGGCATTCATTTATAATTAAAATTATAAATATTAAAAATATACATTTCATAAACCTTAAAATTATGTGAACTAAGAAAAGGAGTGAAAAATTTAAGGGGGTCTGAATACTTTCCGTACCCACTGTATATACACACACTGTATATAGCTAGCCACCTTACATTTTCTCACAAGATTGGATTGGAGATTATGTTAAAAAAAATTACAAATAAAACAATGCCAAAAACAATCAAAGACCCCAGTAAATGAGGGTCTCATTGGGTGTATATCATTAGCCTTCATAATTATTCCCAGTTATTTCCTTCAGTTCTGTTACCACAAGACTTTTTAAGCTCCACACCAGCCAGTGTCATGGCAGGGGGCGTCTCACACCAGCTTGACCCAGCAAACGCTCTCCCCTCTGGGCAGAGCTGTTCCTAAAGCTCCCTTTGATGCTTAATTACACTGCTCTGTCATCTACTGACAAGCCACTGTGACAGTAGGGAGGCAAAGAGACGACCAACATAAACAAGGTGAGCTCTACAACCAAACATGCAACTAGAACAACTTCAGTTTAGGTCTGATCCTCTAACAGAAGACTTGGCATATAACATATCACAACATTTATGGTCATTTTTGCAGCTGGACAGTATCTGTCCCCTTATTTTGAAAGGCAAAATAACACTGCAAAGAGATTTGACAGTAATGAGCGGTATCAGTATCGCGTGTCAGGCTCTGCAAGGAAGTGTTGTTATTAAACTGAGCAGTGTATGAGAATAAGGAAATAGCATATGTCAGTAAAACTGACTACTGTTGGCAAAATGAGCAAAAAAACAATGTACAACAAAAGTACACCACAAAGCACAGCAGTTTAGCAGCAGGGGAAATCCCATTGTAAATGACAGAGCTGAGTAGTTTAGAAAGACATTAATTCTGACAGACACTCCGAGATGCAACGAAGCTCAACTGAGGAGCTCTTGCAGGTGTGAATAAAAGGAACTGAACAGGAAGTGCTGTTTTCATGCTCTTCAAAAGAGGGGATCCGCTTTTAACGGCCATCTGTGCGATGACAAGGACAGCCGATACGATTTTAAGCAAAAAAGAATGAATGAAGGCAGAAATGGCATAAAATATAAACAGTTACACATATAATGAGGACAAGGGAGACATTCTAGAATGGCTGCCCAGTTAACAGATAAAAAAAAAATCTAGCATAATTTATTGAAATCTCATGTTGTTCCAAAGCTGTATGAAAAAAAGGAGGAAATTTTTTAAGGAATACACATGGGAACTGGGTCTGTGAAGCCCCAAAACACAAAAGCACCATACAAATATCCATATGACTTTTGCACTATATTCCGACTATTATGACTTTGTGGTAGAAGCTTGCTGAAATCTAAGTCATTATTTACTGAAAATCTTCCCATGCTCTGAAGCTTTAAGATCTAATGACTATTAAATACCAAAATTATTAAACAAGCAGTGTTTTTCAAATGTATAACTGAGATACTATTATAGTTTTTACTAATATTTTACATTTTAGTTTTAATTTTAGTTAATTAATTAATGTATTTTAAACTTGGTTTTGTGTTCTTGTCATTTTTAAATGTCTGTATAGTTTTTATTAATTTTACTTCTGTTTTAGTTTGTTATTTTAGTACATGAAGTTAAATCTATTTTATTTAGTATTTTATTATTTTTATGATTTAATACATATAAATGAAAACGAGAAATGTTGGCAACTAGCTCAAATATAAGTTTGAACATTAATATATACAATTTGAGTTAATGTTTATTTTAAGTAATTGAATATTAAGAAATGTAATATATAATATATAGCATATAATAAACTGGGTAAAAAGACATGCAATTACCAACACAACTTTATAACATTTTTGTAGAATAAAAGTACATTTCTGAGCCCATTTCAGAGGTTTACCGGCAACCACTGAAATATTGTGCATTGGACATATGAACTATTTTTATGAAACTTTTACTGTCCTAAGCATTACAGTCCACATTCATTTTCATTATGTGAAAAACAAGAGTGGTCTGGATATTCATTAAAAAAATAAAACAATTTTTAAAAAAAAGTCATGTTTGAAACATGACAGTGACAATTTGGGGAACTGGTCCTTTCAAATCTGCACTATAGGAAGTGACCTTTGGATTTCAACCTTTCTAAATCCATCTCATTAATATTAATGAAGGCAAAACACACTGAAGTCTTTCTACTATAATTTGAATAACTGCCCTTTTAACATGGGGATTTTTTCTGTTCAAATAGCACGTAACCATTCTAGGTCTGGTTACAAGTGACTGAGACTGAGCTGTAGCCTATGTGTTTACTAGTAAATAAGTGTACCATTTCATGCTACCTTGGCGTCCCATAACAGCTAAAAACATGAGTGTCTGCCACCAAAACTTCAGTTCAATCCCACATTCAGATGTTGTTATTAAACACTCAAAAAACCATGACAACATGACAATCCCAGAATGATGCTGATGGGGAACAGCACTGCTGATCCAATCAGGACTGGCAAAGAGACAATACATCTCAAACTGGGACTAGTCCATTATGCACTATCCAATGCATTTTATAATGCAATGCTTTATGATGCATCTTGCACAGATGCTTTAAGATGATTAATTAACAAATCATGAATGACTTCCAAAGACGCGTTTTGTCTCATGCAGGAGCCTCAAGTGGCTCTTATTTGGACAGCTGTGAAGCAGACCATCGCATTCAAATTCAAAAACACAATGCGCCCATTCTTATACATGCAGAAGGTTGAAAGAAGCAAAAAGGAGGTTAAGATCAAGCTATAATATTGGCATAATACATAATACAAAACAGTACCTATGTGTTCTGTAGATGATCAGCCCTTGGTGTCCAAAAGCCTTAAAGTTAGAGATGTTTTAGGCTTGTCCACTAAGTCCATGTGTGGGTCAAACCCACTAGATCGTATCAACAGAAGATACAGAAGTAGTCATTCACACATTCAGCAAAAGAGATCTTCCATAGAGCTTTCCTTTAACATCAACGCAGACAAAAAATGATCGGCTCGTCCGTGCATACAAATATAAGCCCCCAAATCGTTAAAGACTGCAGCGACTGAATGCGCTTCAATTTAAAAACACAGCGCGTGTGAGGAAACAAACGGCTCGGCTTAAAAAACACAACTGTTGCAGCGTTTCACAAACCGGAGAAGTCGATAAACGGTACGCCGCCTGAAGTGAGCAGTTTTTAAGCGTTACGGAAGCACAGCACACCCAGGGGCTACAGCTGTCTTTTACACACACACACACATACATACGTTCAGGCCCTTGAAAAGGAAACGCACTTCTTCAGACAGCCCCGTGCGTAGTGCGCATGCGTCTCTCTGGTGCGCGAATTTACTAATTCAACTACGGAGAAGGCTTAGCTTATGAATATTAATTAAGTGACGAGATGTAATTTGATGATAGCAAGAGGTTGGTAGGTGGGCGGCACGTTGCTGGCCAATTACAAACGTTATAATGACGGCTCGTCAATATTAATGAGGCTGCGTAACTGGACGCTCCAGGAAGGTTACCAAGCAACGTCACTATACATAATTAATATTTATAAGCAGCCCTTTCCGTGGTAGGATTCGTAATCTCGCATTTGGAGACAGGAGCGACAGCACGCGCTTTTAAAGAGAATTGCAACGATAAAGACATTCATTCATTACATTTATAAAAAAAAGAATGTTGTATTTAATTTTTTTTACAGCATTGTAACTGTAAATAAAACAACAACAGTCATAAAGTCATATTTCCATTCTCTTTATTTATTCAGTCCTTACACTTCAAGGTTGACAATGTTAAGCATGTAAGGTTTCCAGTGATATCAGAACTATGCAGAACAAATGTCACTAATTCACAATTAATGGTAACGTTGTTGTTGTTGTCTAAACCAGAACTGAATCGTGTCTTGCCTTATACAACAGGTGCAGAGATAAATGATAAAATTACGCAATGCTGACAACCTTTATCTCATGCTTTTGTGAAGAAAACGGCGTAAGAATGGAAACCTGTGGAAAGAAACCAAAAAGTAGCTTTCAACTTTTGATACTGAACAAAACCCCCTCAAACGTCGAGAGACGTATTTGATGACATCATCGTGGGGGAGCCACAAAAATGAACATCACCAGATAACAACAAAACATTTTCGCAATTTTTTTTTTTTAAACTGCTCAACTGAGTGTGGTCAGATTTTAGACGCAAACTCCTACAGAGGAATGATTTATATCAAACTGCATTTTAACATACATCTAAGCACAAGTAGTGCTTAGGTATCAAACAATATTTAACTGAATATTACGACTGGGCTCTGTAGCTCTTATCAATTAGAGTCAATTTTTTATTTTTGAAAACCAAATGAAAAAAAAAAAAGTACAGCAGTAATATTTTCAATTTCAAGTAACAAGTCGTAAAAACAAGTTTAGTGCTGGATTTGCTCAGTAACTGCTGTATTATTAGACACACATGTTCTCCTATCTGTATTCATCCACTATAAGATGGACCTTTGCTATTCTGTGACAGTGCAATCTCATTACATCATTAACTTATTAAAGGAACACTCCACTATTTCTGAAAATAGGCAAATTTTCCAACTCCCCTAGACTTAAACAGTTGAGTTTTACCGTTTTCGAATCCATTCAGCCGATCTCCGGGTCTGGCGGTAGCGCTTTTAGCTGTAGCTTAGCATAGATCATTGAATCTGATTAGACCGTTAGCATCTCGCTCAAAAATGACCAAAGAGTTTCTATATTTTTCCTATTTAAAACTTGACTTGTAGTTACATCGTGTACGAAGACCGACAGAAAATGAAAAGTTGCGATTTTCTAGGGCGATATGGCTAGGAACTATACTCTCATTCCGGCTAACTTCCGTCAACATAACCAATGTGACCACCTGCTTGCACAGGGAGCGTGCTGGGGACTATTTTCAGGCGCTTCGAAAACGGTAAAACTCAACTGTTTAACTCTAGGGGAGTTGGAAAATGAGCCTATTTTCAAAAATAGTGGAGTGTTCCTTTAATGCTTTTAATAATTACCTCTCATTTAGTCTTTGTTTTTAAGCTCAAAAGCAAATTAAAATTAGCTCCAACAGCCACCAGAGGCTGCACCAATAACCTTACAGACACAAACATCAACAGTGAAAGAAAAGGAGAGAGAAAAAAAACAATTCACATTTAATTTTTCCCATGACTGAGAATAGATGATGTGTAAGGTCTGTTGGTTTCTAGTTTATCCTAACACTTGTGACCAGAAAGATTAGACATCTGGGGCGGTCAACTTTAGCGAGGTCACCCCTAGATTGTACATAGCTTAACCAATGTTTCAAAAAATAAAAAGCAAAGAAAATAAAAAGCGCTTAAACCATGAATGTGGCTTATGGACAGAAAACAAAAATAAAATCAGTAGAAAAAAATCTTCTAAATTAAATCTGGGAGAAAAATAAAAATATTTGCTAGTCAAATTCAGAGAACATCACAATAAAGCTTAAACGAAAAAACATTTAGTAAAAAAGTAAATTAGTCTGATGAAAGCAATACATTATTTCCTGGTGTCAGTTTGAAACAATTTTAAGTTCATTATTGTTGCATATGGATCTTTTATAGAGCATTTGCGAGTCATAAGTGCCTCTCATTTTAACTGTGAAGGCATGATACGATCTGCAGATTCAAGCAAATATTTCAACTGTCCTTATCAGTGCTTTTGAAAAACTCATTATTCATTACCCAAAAGAACTGAGTGTGCAGCACACACCGACTTTTTGCTTTGTAATGGGTTTTGTGAGCACAGTAATACAACCTGTAATAAAATCATGAATCGATTTCAGCAAGCAGGTTTCTTGCAACACGTGGAGCATCTTTCTTAATAAAAGATCCTTGTTTGATGTAACCAAACAAGCAATGCCATTCGATCTGAAACCCATTTAAAACAGGATTTCATAAGCTGCTTATTATTTTTGAGCACTGAGAACTGAAACAAATGGAAATGAGGTAAAGCACAGCAATGAATATTAGCCTAAGAAAACTGGTGGCCAATGACTGCTTAAAATGGTCAGTATTGGTCCAATGGCAACCAATATCACAAACTAGTTTTTTAGTACACTTATCTTCCCATTCAAGTGTGCAACATTTTATCACTGATGAGATCCCAGTCAATCTGTCATATTTACAGCACACAGGGCTTGGTCAACAAAGCAAATAACGCTGTAAGAAATTTTGCATGCAATAAACTGCCATAATTCCAGTGCCTTAACACTGACTTTGATCAATCTGGCACAAAAAGAAGAAAAGATGAAACCCCCATCTAATGCACATTTTTCTATGGGGAAAATTAAAGTCGATCTAAATCAGCACATCCAACGATGAACTAAAAGCAAATTCTTCTATTTAAGATGCTGAAAGTAACAGAATAAGATTCAAAAATGCCATAAGACCAATTCAGTCGCATTAAGTGTGAGCCAGTTGCTTTTTTGTGGCTTTACTGCATATTTAATCAAAAAGATCAGCCTTGCATATTAAAACGGCTGTGTGAAAGATTATTGTAAGACTGTTAGAATGCAGCAGACGGCGAGTATAATGATGTTGGTTCTGCTTTTAACATATCAGGTTTGTCACAAGAGCTGGTATCATTTGCCATCACTTCCCTTTGATGGGAATCATCACAGAAGTATAGAAGAAGCTGAGAAAAATAGAGACTGAGAAGCTTCAGTTCTGCTGCAACATTCAAACCGTGGTCCGTTCATACTTAAAATCTTTAAGGCAGGTTCAGTGAGCCTTGACCGTGAAAGTCAACGGCTTATACAGAGTGCAGCGGAATGACGAATTTACATCCAAAGGGGGAGTGGTATTTGATCCCCACTTCCTGGAATACCTGTCGGGGAATGCCGATGTCACACAGGTAGACTCGGCCTGCGTCCTCAGACACAGGCAGCGGGAGGCCGAGGGAAAGTGACCATTTTGCTTCCACGGCATGTGCCTGTCCACTTACTGGAGGGTCGATGCTCAGTACTGGGGCTCGGTTCTGGTTGGCCCAGTCGGCGGCAGCCTTGTACCAGGGCTGCTCCCTCAAGAATCCGTTTTCATGCGAATCCAGGCAGTTTATGACCAGGTCAACTGGCGTTTCGGGCAAGTCTGAGGGTGAAATTAAATTTATTTATTTTTTTAAATGAGTGGATAAGACTAATGTACTTTAATTTTTAACACAGAACCCATTTATATAGCATACACCTCCCACTGGCTTTCAGAAGTGTTCCGGTATATTACATAAGGAGGGTGGGTGGGTACAAAGTTAAATATGTTTTTGCAATTCAGAGTGGAAGTTTCCAAGACTTTCTAAGCCCATCTAAACAAAGCATTCAGGTGGGTGTGTTAGGAAGATATGTGACATACAGAAACCATGCTCAAGATTTTTTGTCATCAAAATTTGTGTTAATGGAAACAGATCTTTGGGGGGAAAATCAACTGGATTACACTGGTGATCCAATCACAAGTGGTCAGAAGTCATGTTGATTAGAGATGCACAATACTAAAATTTTGGATAATAGAATAAGCTGATTATTATTTTTATTTTATGGTTGATAACTGTTAAAAAAATTTATATCAAAATTCTATACCATTTTGTCTAACTGAATTAAAAAGAGCAATTCAAGAGAAGTAGACACTGCGCTTCAGAGCAAACGCAGGCGAACCTGAAGTTTCAAGCTGCTGAGCAGCGTTTGGATGAATATGTAAACATATTCTGCGCCCTTTACTCTCAATAACAAAATAAACACAACAAAAACTGACAGCGGTGAGAAAGCAGCAGTTAAGAACGTATCTGATTACAGCGATGTGGATGTTTGCACAAGCTCTGCAGTTCGGTCCAGTCACGTCACGTTTATATAGTACTTTATGCAATAGATAGCCTTAAATCAAGCAGCTTTACAGTATTAAACATGAAAAACCAGAGTCAGTGTCGCTTTCAGTTAGAATTACAACTTGATTTTCTGTTATAAAGCAGCTCTCCAGTGTTGAGCTAATGATAAAATCTTTTTATTAGTGTGAATTTTTTTTTTATTTAATTAAAGTGATGGTTTGGTTTGTAGAGATCAAAGCTTGATCTAGCTCAGGACTGTTTTGATTATCATAACCCTATAAGGTATTTTAAGAGAGATTATGTTGCGAATAAAATAGTGTATCCAAAAATAAAGCGTCTTATCTCTTACCTTTATTTTGTTTCTTATCCTTATGACTTACAAAAGGAGATGTTAGGCAGAATTATGTCATTCAGTTACTTTTTCATTTAGCTAATGAAATGGTAAATGAGAGAGATTCTTTGTCTGTCATCTCATTTTGTGTGCCAAATATATTTATTTGTATAAATTAATTGCATAATTGTATTTTCATACTATGATTTTCAAAAGTTGAAGTGATTACCTTTATTTGTTAGAATATGTATAACTCAATATTTTAAATAATTGCAAAAGCTGAATAATCAAAGTCTACTGATTAATCAGTGGAATAATCGACGATTAACCGCTCTAATAATCGTTAGATATCAAAATAATCGTTTGTTGCAGCCCTATAGCGTGTATATATATATATATATATATAGTATATAAGGCTATTATATAGTATTATAGTGGTTCAACGCATTATATTGTGTTTTTCTGAGTCACAGATCAGATTATTTTTTCGGATAAGCATGAAAAAAAATATTTAAAGTCAAGTCACCTTTATTTATATAGCGCTTTTAACAATACAGAT